ACACACACACACACACACACACACACACACACACACACACACACACAGTGACATGTTTCACGAATCTGCTCCTCACAGTAATTATGATCCAAACCACATGTTTACTCCGCCAAACGCAGCAGAGCTGGTCTGTCAGACCCGAGGCCCTGCATGCACTGTACCTCACAGTGAGCCCTGCTTCAGGCCTGGCAACGCCCACCATGTGTCATAGGACATAAACAATTCCTCATGACCTGACAAGGGCAGAGGCTCAGCAAACATGATGGAACTGCCATAAGCCACTGCTTCACTGACTTTTTTTGCTTTATTCAATTTATTAATTGGACTTCAAATTGATGCAATTTTGGGAGAATTAAGCTCAGTGAGCCCAGGATTGCTAGCAAATACTGAATGCTTCACTGAAATGATTTTGGAGCTTCAATTAATGTCAGATCCCAAAGAGAATTACTGCATTTATAGATCAAGTTTCTTGACGTTACTGAAGATAGAAAATCGGATAAATTTAGATGAAAAGTGTTTTCAAATGGAGCCGATTCACTCACTGTTGCACGTGTTGATTAGAACATGCAGTTCATGACTTGACCCTTGAAACATTAACAAAAACAACCAACTGTGCCAATGTTCTCCCTCCTCTCCTCCTCTCTGCTTCGTCCCATCTCTTAGCCGGACACCCTCGGTGCTCTCCCCAACCTCAGGGAGCTATGGCTGGACCGCAACCAGTTGTCCTCATTACCACCAGTAAGTACAGTTAACTACAAATGTTTTTTTTCAAAGCTGACCTTTTGCAAGAACTCTGCACTTATTTCTTTATGAAACTTACATTACACATATGCAGAATTAACTCCCACTAGCACATTTCTCCTCCTTGTTTGTGCTGTGAAGGTAATGGTTGTATTGGGCCTCCGTGACTCACTGCAAGTGGTATTTATCGTGTGTTTGCAGGAGCTGGGGAACCTCCGGAGACTGGTGTGTCTGGATGTGTCTGAGAATCGTCTGGAGGAGCTTCCCTCAGAGCTCAACGGCCTCCTGGCTCTCACCGACCTGCTGCTCACACAGAACCTGCTGGAGGTCATCCCGGACAGCATAGGTGAAATACCACGAGGGGGAAAGAGAGTTTCAGACCGAAGATAGTGTTGATGGGGGGGGGGGGGCATGTTGTTTAAGGTACCAGTTAGACATGAAGCATGATCCAGGAAGTCCAGTTTGAGTAACAGATTACTGCGTCTTAGGCCTTATCAGACGGCAAAAACAATGCACAATGGTTTGTAAATCCCACAGGCAGAATTTGGAAAATTATCACGGCAGAAGCTATTTTGTCTTTTGTCCCAATGGTTGAGAGATAAACAGAAGAAATACGGTGTTCACATTACAAAGTAATCCACCAGAAATGTACGCTTACATGTACACTTAATTTGCCAACACCGTTCTAGATGTTGTCTTGCGTTGAGGTTCATCTCTGTTGGGACCATCCTGACAGTTGTTAACCCCATGCACATGTAATTTGGGCATGTGCTGTTATAGAATAGTGTCTGCTGTTTCTCAAACTGCGAGACAGAATAAGGCCAACATTAGTTGATGTGAAAGAACCTCAACGATTTGGGAAAGTTTGCCATCTAATAAGCCAGCGCTAGATGAAGTAATCCCTGCAGCAGGCCCACCGCAGACTGTACTCTGTTTTATATATATATATATATATATATATATATATATATATACAGCACTGCCCTCTACTGGAGAAATAGAGCCAGTGAAGAAAGACACAGGCAATAACAACAGCTCTGTTTATCTGTTGTCAACTGAATCTATTTGAGCGTATAGGTCCATATTAATAAAGATCACAACATGTCACATCTAGTGGTGTCTTATTGCAACACTTTGTAAAACAGCATTGTGTTTTGTTGTGTTTGTTGTCCAGGCTGTCTGAAACAGCTGTCCATCCTGAAGGTGGACCAGAACAGACTGACCGACCTGACTGATTCAATAGGCGAGTGTGAAAACCTCACAGAACTCATCTTGACAGAGAACCTTTTACAGGTAGGCAGCTTTAAACCACTTACAAAAGCCTCACACTGACCCACTTGGGATTCATGTATGCCCTTTTAATACCTTTTAAGTCCAATCAACAGCCATTAAGCTGCATTATAATTTCCCCCCCGAATATTAATGACTTCTGTCTCACTCCCTCAAAGTCACTTCCTCGCTCGCTGGGCAAGCTGAAGAAGCTGACCAACCTGAATGTAGACCGCAACCGCTTGGGCGGCGTGCCCAAAGAGCTGGGCGGCTGTGCCAGCCTCAACGTCCTCTCGCTGAGAGACAACCACCTGGAAAAACTGCCCGCTGAGCTCGCAGATGCCACCGAGCTGCATGTGCTAGATGTGGCCGGAAACAAGTAAACCCTCATTGAACACCTCGAGCTGTAAATACATCACAGAGGCCTTCGGTGCTGCGGTCAAAGATTTAATGAGAATGCTTTTAGCATTACCAGCATCCTGCAGAGAGATTGCTCCTTTGATTTTCTTTAACAGCACCAATGTCCCTATGAATGCACTTGAACTCTTAACTTTTAGAGAGTTTTGTGATCGCCAATTCAACTTTTTAAGATCCTAGAAGTATCAGCTGGATGCTATTTAGTTTTACTCGCTGAAGAGGTAAAGGTTGTGGCTCATCCCTCATCGCTTCTTTTGTCCAGATTACAAAACCTGCCTTTTGCCCTGACAAACCTCAACCTGAAGGCCATGTGGCTCGCAGAGAACCAGTCCCAGCCAATGCTCAAGTTCCAGACGGAGGATGATGAGCACACAGGAGAGAAGGTGCTGACCTGCTATTTACTGCCCCAGCAGCCTTCTCCAAGCCTCGGTGAGTAGCAGTTAGTTAATGCAATGGGAGGTTTTACTTGGATTGATATTGTTTTTCATTAGACATGTAAAGGATGAGTCTTGGTCGGTCATTCCAATGTGTAAGACATCTAAATCTAATGTCATTATAGAATGATTGTGAGACTTTACTGTTAAATGGATAGCTTCAAGAACATCACCTCAGTTTGTCATCTTTCTGTCCTCTTCCTTCATGACCCACAGAGAACTTGCTGCAGAACAGTGTGGATGACAGTTGGACGGACAGCAACCTGAACCGAGTGTCGGTCATTCAGTTCCAGGAAGAGACCAAGGCTGAGGAGGAGGACGATGAGGCTGCTGCGGAGCGCAGAGTGAGGAACACAACAATACAGCGGCACTTCCTGTCCGCTCCATGTCCTTCTGCTCAAATCGTTTTTAGTTTTGCCCTCCTACTTATCAGCATTGACGTTGAGTGTAAACGTATTCGTGACAGCTCTATACTAATGCACATTTGTTGTCTAATTCATGCTTTTAATCTGTTTGTTTCAGGGCCTTCAGCGCAGAGCCACACCACACCCTAGTGAGCTGAAGGTGATGAAGAAGGTGATTGAGGAGAGGAGGAATGAAGCGTACACATCCAGACCTGATGGAGAAGAAGAGTCCCCTGATCAACGGGTACATCCACCATTCTGTATAATGATTATCAATCAGTTAACATTAAGAGATGTATTTATGTTATAAATCACCCGTTAATGTAGGAAGTAGACAAAAGGCAGTTTTTCACTGGTGCACTTGATCGTGAATTAATCAACGTGATGCTTTTGGTTTTAGGAGAAGCGGCTCAGTGACCTGTCCAATCAGAGCCATGACTCCCAGGTGTCCAATAGCACACTGTCGGCCACTTCGCACGAGGGCCGACAAAATGTGACGGCGGCCTCGCAGAGGGAGGACCTCGTCGACGGCCACTACCCTCAGGATGAGATGGAGCTGGATGAGATAGAGGTGGAATACATTGAGGTGAATGTTTAAAACATCTTGTCCATAACACTGTTATGTTATACGTTATTTCCCCAATTGATCCTTTTAACCGAAAAAAAAACAATTCTGAAAACCCCTCTCTTCTCCAGCCCTCTGTGCACTTTGCAGAGGAGCCTATGATCCGTGGTTTGGATGAGGACGACGATGAGGACGGTGAGAGGAGTGACGAGGAAGAGAGGCCGGTTATTCCCTACGAGAAGCAGCGTCTGATCAGAAAGGACACGCCGCACTACAAGAAGCACTTCAAGATCAACAAGCTGCCCAAACCCGAGGCGGTGGCGGCGCTGCTGCAGGGCTTCAGCCCCGACGGCCTGAACTCTCCGACACAGGCTCCTGAGGACGAGCAGCATGATGAAGAGGAAGAGGAAGAGCAAAGTTTATGCACCCCTCAACCCCATCTCAGGATGGAGGAGCTCGAAGACAGCCGGCTCCAGGTCAACTCCAGTCAAGTAAAGGTAAAGGAGAGATCCCACCGCTGGAAGGATGCAGTTAAGGAATGTAGAGGGAAGCTGGGTAACTGTTTCATATAATAAGTAGAAAAACATTAATTCCCCCACCTACATTTCAACACATGTAGTGGTACAGGACGTGCACTATGCAGGAAAGTCACACACCAAATCAGTTAATGAACTTATTTTATGCTTAATCTTTCCATTCATGTTGTAAGAATATATTTAAATTGAATATATTTTTTTGCTTGCTCATTGCATCTATGCAGACACTACTGTATGCATAGAGCGCTCTTACCAGCTTGCAAGATGCATTCAGTTTGGAGTGGGCTGCCAGCATATATTAAGGATGTGGCATTGCATGCTGGGTCATTATGGAAACGAAGACATCTACCCTTGGCCTTGTAAATCAAGGGCAGTGTTCTTCTCAGGAGTGGAAAACAGTCTCAGAACTTTGCTGATAATACTTTCCAATACCTCACATCATATAAACGATAAAAATATACAAATATTGTCTCATACTTGGAGACAAATTGGTGAGAGTCACTCTAAACCGAGTTTCCTTGTCTTTATTTATGCACAACTAACATACCAGATATGAATTCTTTGACTTCAAATGATAATGTTGCTTCCACACAAGCAGCTGCAGGCTTTTCTTGCACACCACTGGCCCCAGTTCAGCACTAAACCTCTCACCATATTATCAGCCATCTCCTGGTTTTAATTGAGTATTGACATTCTCACACTGTCTTCTAGTAACATTGTGCGTGTGTGCTCGTACGTATGAACGGGTGATGAGTGAAGTCTGCTCCGGTGCCGCTTATGAAAATGAATCTTAAGGAGACGTTAATGAAGTTTTTTTTGATTTATCATGCTGCTTTAAACGCTGTGATCAAACATCATCATCTCACCAAATCTTGTTTTGTGTGCGTTTGTGAATGTGGGTCTGTTTGTGTGGCTGACCTCAGAACAACCAGAACATTTATGGGCAGAGCTGGAATGTGAAATCCAACTATCCTTGTTTGAGTCATATGGTAATAGTCTTTTATGGGATGTTTAAATTATCGTAGAGAGTAAGATTCTTCAGTGTCCTTCAAAATCAAAATCTCATTTATGATTGCGCTGATTTTCTAAAATCTTGTAGATATTTTTGTGGCTGAAAGTGTAAAAGCTTGTAGCTTTGCTCCTGGAGGAATTTGCTTTCTGTGGTGCGGAGGCTGGGCTTACTGTTGTTTGGGAGCTTTTGCCTTCTCTTGTCCGCTCTCTCTACACTCTGTGCTTTGCACTGTAGCTCGGCTCCTTGGTTCTTGTCTTTCCATCTCTGCCTGTATTTGCTTCTGGTGGCTGGGGAGTGAGTGTGCGATTACTTCTGCTTCAAGGTGGACCTGGAAGGCTCCACAACCTGCAAGCAGACAGTTGGGTGTTTGGTGGAGTCAATGGAATGTGTGTGTGTGTGTGTGTGTGTGTGTGTGTGTGTGTGTGTGTGTGT